CAAGTAAGCCGAACCGCAAAGCTTCCATCTTGGGTTCCTTTGAGAGCTCGTCCTTTCTACTTGCACTGTTCATAACGCGTACAATGTTGTGTCGAAGCGCACATTGCGCGAGTAGCTGCAAATGCATCAAGCGAAAATTGCGAAAGCAAACAAACACATGAACATTCTATTCATACGCAAATGAATTCGAACACGCATACCCATACAAACAGACGGCAGGATGTCGTGCAATGTGAATTTGCACCCAACAGCAGCGCATGGTGAGGCGCGGGAAGTTTTCGCTGAACTACATCCTGACCAACGAGAAGCCGGCAGACTTTCTGACGAAGGCGCTGCGTTTTACGGCCTTCAGCCTGTGCTCTGTCGCAATTGCTCAGGCGGCAGACGTCGGCGACGGTGGCGACGACGTTCAGCAGTAGGTGCCATGCCCTTTTGCATGTTTGGTGCAGCGACCAGCGTGCTGTGCGTTGTGTGCACGCTGACATGCTATTCTCCGAGTAATGCTGCTGTATGAGCTGGAGGCCCAAGCGTGAACGCGGCAGGGGAGTGTCAACGGGGTTTGTTGGACCCATCCTCGCTTGGGAGCGCAGCCGATCAGCAGTAGTGGGCCACGCCGATTTCAACACACAGGTTGACGGTTTGGTCGACCTGTACGAGGCTACTGCTACACCGCCGACTACGGGGAGCCGGCAGCCGACCTGACCTAGCGATCGACGAGGGGAGGGGCGCTGACTTTGAGAGGGGCCGTTGTTGACTTGGTGAGGCCGGCCTGGGAGGCGCCGAGTTTGTGGACGCCGGGTTGGTGCATCGGCGACCGGAGCTTGGTCGACAAAATTGGTTGGTCGATGAGCACGAGGAGAACCTGCCGGTGAATGGGGTTGCCCGGGCGATAGGGACTTGCGGAGGTGCGTGATCGTCGCCCAGGCAGTTCTGGCAAAGCCGACCTTGTTCTGGTATCCCGAGGTCGAAGTGGAGGATCGGGTGCAGACGTGGATACGTGGTCGGCGTGGCGCCTGCGTTGTGAACATGACGGGGCACAAGGCGCCAACTAGCTGCAAGCATTTGCGAAGCAGATGCGCTGCTGTTCTGCGGGTGCAACGCTGTGCAGCTGCCTTGCTGCAGCATTGGCACGCCGTTGACTTGTAGCGTTGGCAGGCCCCAACATTGCACTACTGGAGCGCGGTCGACCTTGTTGTGCTGGAACGCGGTTGACCGTGCTGCGCTAGCAATCGATCAGCTTGCATGCTAGCATCTGATGTAGTCAATGTTGCTTTGCATTATTGACTATTGTTGTGAAATTTTGCTTCTGAAACTCTTGCCAAATCTCCCCGTGAATGCGCAAGCAGAGTAAGCACAAGTGAACGACCAAGAAACAAACGCTACGATCTCTCCTATCCCGTGTCTGCCCCGTAGACTAGCTCCCGTTGTACGGGTCTTCTCCGCAGTTGGCTTGCTTGCATTTTTGTTTTCTGTTTGTACAGGATCTGCCCAAGGAGCCAGCTGGATCTATCCAGCTCCAACTGGAGGCAAAGTAGCACGAGGAGGGGGAGAGGGGTGTCAAGCAGCACGGATGTAAGCCTCTTCGAAGGCAAATTTTGCTGCTAGACTTCTAGGCTAGGAGATGTTGGCGTAGGCAGTTAGGCGGAAGGCTTGCTATGAGAATAGGTGGATTCTTGGAAAAAAATTCTCAATGCTTATATGTTTTTTTTTTTCCCTATTGTCTGAGAAACTGAACGAGAATGAATTGACTAAGGGAAAGTTGGGTACAAATGTAAACCCTAGAAAACTGTACCCCATATGTGCTACAGTAGCTATGTCATATAAATCTGACACACCCCCATAGGCAAAGTGGGGGAGAACAAGGGGTCACAAGACCTGTCAAGCAAAGCAAAGCAAGCTCAGGGTGGATCACAAAGTCACCACACATTCCGAGCACAAGTTCAAGGCCACAAGGCCAGTTCACATGCAGGATTACATATATATATAAGGCTAGACAAGCAAGAGCAGGTGTATATATATATATGCAACAGTACAAACAAGGTCAAGGGGTGAGCAAGTGAGGCAAGGTAGGCACAAGACCCAGCTGAGTACAGAAGCGCTGATGATCACAAGGCGCAAGTGCCTTGGTGAAGATATCAGCAGTGTTGGCCTGAGAGGCCACGTACGCAACCGCAGCTGACCACACTGCTGTAGCTCACGACCAAGGAAGTAGCGGAGAGCAATGTGCTTCGTTCTGTGCTCCAGTCTCTGCTCTCGACACAAGGCCAGCATGGCCTTGTTGTCTACGTACAGCACTGGAGGAGAACGAGGCGGCTCTCCGAGGTCAGTCAGCAGGTAGGTGAGCCAGCGAAGCTCCTGTGCAGCCATGGCCCCGGCGTAGATCTCAGCCTCACAACTGGAGCCGAGAACAGAAGACGAGCGGGTAGCCCGCCACGAAACAGAGCCGGAACCAAGGCTGAAGGTGTAACCCTGTGACGACCGCTGCGTAGCCTGGTCGTCAGCCCAAGAAGCGTCCGCGTGCCCAGTGAGGACCACTGGACTCTGCCCTCCAAGCACAAGCCCCATGCCCGACGTACTGCACAAGTAACGCAACACCCTCTTCGCTGCAGCCATGTGCTCCGGTCTGTGTCTCCCAGGAGCAACATAGTGTGCGAGAATGCTAAGGGGGTATGCGAGGTCAGGTCGTGTGCAGGACATCAGGTACATGAGGCAGCCAACAAGCTCTGGGTACGGGCCACTCGACTCTACGGACTCATCCGAAGGCAGAGCTGAGAGCGAGTGGCGAGTAGGCAGAGGAGTGGCCTGAGGCGAGGAGTACGTGAAGCCGAAGCGCTGAAGGACCTGCTGCACCATGTGTGACTGAGTCAGGGTAATGGTGCGGCGTGCTCTGTCCCGGGTGATCTGCAAGCCAAGGTAGCTGCGCAGTTCACCCAGGTCTGTGCACGTGTGTCCCTTCTGCAGCTCGGACTTCACGTGGGCGAGTCCAGCAGTGTCAGCTGTGGCAAAGACCAAGTCGTCGACGTACACGAGGATGTAGAACGGCGGCAAAGAAGTGTTGGTGCGCAGAAACAGCGACGGGTCGGCAGTAGAGGGAGCAAACCCAAGAGCCGCAAGTGTAGTCCTCAGTGTGTCGTGCCACTCACGCGGTGCCTGGCGGAGACCGTAGACTGGCTGCCGGAGGCTCCACTGGGTGCCAGGAGGAAAAGACCCAGTGAAGCCAGGTGGGCGACGCAGCCAGATCTCCTCGTGCAGGCTGCCCTGCAAGAAAGCAGTGCTGAAGTCAAGAGAGTGCAGCTCGTAGTCGCGGTGAGCAGCTATGTGCAGCAGTACCCGAAGAGTGGTCATCTTCGGGGTGGGAGAGAAGGTCTGAAAGTAGTCAACTCCCTGCCGCTGACTGAAGCCACGAGCCACGTAACGCGCCTTGAAGACAGGCGGAGAACCCGGCGGTCGCTTCACCTTGAAAATCCACATGCCACTGACGATGTTCGCCCCAGGCGGGGGAACCTCGTCAACGTAGATGCCTGTGGACTTCCAGGAAGCCATCTCTGTGTCCATAGCTGCCTGCCACTAAGAGGAGTAGGGACCCTCTATCGCCTCCGCGTAAGAGCGCGGAGTCGGGATGTCAAGTGCATCCGGGTCTCCCTCAGGGGTAAGCAGTACGGACACGAGATGAGGTGAAGCAGTAGCCAAACACTGGAACTCCTCCTGCCTGTACTCAAGGACGTCCGTGCCAAGGGCACACTCACCCCCGACGGACGGAGGACAGACAGACTCAGACTCAACGACAAGACTAGCAGCGTAGTCTAGACGACAGCGAGCAGCAAAGTCGACGAGCTCAGCAACTAGGGCAGACCCAGCAGAGGACTCAAAGGAAGGGTCAGTGACGACAGTAGCAAGGAGACGCGTGACAGTAGGACTGGCAGCACGAAGAGAGTCCGACTCCGGGTCGGGAAGAGCAGGAAGAGAGGACTCAGGAGGAGAAGGCAAAGGGGCACGCAGAGGAGCAGTGGACGGACGCAGAGACATCCGGTGCGTGCCAGGGACAGGAGGAGGACGCTGACGCGAACCACGACCACTAGTGCGAGCAAGACGGACAGGCGACGCAGGGCGAGACGCAGGCTCACGACGCTCAGCCAGACCTCCAGTAGGACCAGTGTAGGGAGAAGGAGCGGGCAGTGGGGAGGCCGGCTGTAACTGTAACTGTGACGGGACAGGCTGTGGACACTCTAAGGGAGGAGGAGGACCAGTAGAAGGCGGGAGACCAAGAACCTGCTGAAGGAGCGGAACGAAGTACGGCCGAGGCCGCGCGGCGACTCCAGACACAGCAGGGACAGCACCAGTACCCCCAGCGGCAGCACCAGCGCCAGCAGCACCTCCAGCTCCAGTACCTCCAGCAGCACCAGTAGCACCCCCAGCAGGACCGCCTCCAGGACCGACAGCAGTAGCCTCAGCGCCAACACCCTCAGCAGCTCCAGCTCCAGTCGTACCCGCAGGCCCAGCAGCTCCAGTACTCCCAGTACGAGAACCTCCGGGACCCGCGGCACCAGCACCCTCAGCAGCCGAAGAACCTCCAGCTCCAGCAGCACGCCTCCAGCGCCGGGCAAACCACTCTCGCAGCTCCTGTGGAGAGAGTGGCTCCCGCCGAGACGAAGCACCCGGAGAACCTCCAGGCTCAGTACCGCCAGACGCCACACGAGCAGGCCCAGCTCCCTCAGGCTCCACACCCCCAGGCTCAGCACCTCCAGGCGTAGCACCCCCAGGCTCAGCACCCCCAGGCTCAGCACCCCCAGGCTCAGCACCCCCAGGCTCAGCACCCCCAGGAGTAGCACCCTCAGGCTCAGCACCCCCAGGCGTAGCACCCACACGCTTAGCACCCCCACAGTCAGCACCCCCAGGCTCAGCACCCTCAGCAGCACCAGAGTCACCAGTAACCTCGACAGGCTCGACGGCGTCTACCTGGGACACACCTGAAGGGGCAGGACCCTGAGGGGGGAGGGGGTCTACCGGGGGGGGGGCCTGGCACAAGGAAGAGCGGTGGCGGGGGGAGGGACGGAGTGCGGTAGGGGAAGAGGCGGTAGTAGGGGACCGACTCGTCAAACGTGACGTCCTGGGAGGACAGAACACGGCGAGAGGTGGGGTGGTAGAACTGCCACCCTGGCGCGTCAGGGGGGAAGCCAAGGAAGACGCAAGGAGCAGCACGAGGGGACATCTTGTCCGCAGACAAGTCGCGGACAAACCCCGAGATCCCCAGACACGGAACGCAGACGCATCGCCTACCTTCCCCGTCCACAGCAAAGCTGGGGAGGTCTCCGGCATGGAGACCCCGGGGTGAAGGTTGATCTGATGCGCCGCGTACCGAACCGCAAACGGCCACAGAAAATGGGGGGCAGCCGCATGCATCATGGACGTACGGGCGACGTCCATGACCATGCCAATGCGGCGCTCAGCATGACCCTCTCTACCGGATGTCTACGCCGCTCTTCCTCCTCTCTGCAAGATAACAGGTCTGCCTCGTCCCTCATCCGCTCTCCAGCTGCAGCCCTCAGCCGATCATGCTCAGCTCTCAAGAGCTCCTCTGCGACCATGGACCTTTCTGCATCTTCTCTTGCTCTCTCTGCCGCCTCTTTAGCACGCCGCGCCTCTTCCTCCGCCCTTGCACGCTGCCGTTCTTCTTCCGCCCTCCTTCGCTCCTCTACGGCCATCGCCTTATCTGCCTCCTCTCTTGCACGCCGGTCCTCTTCCTCTCTACAAATCATTGCAACTGCTTCCGCCCGCACCCTATCTGCAGCCTCTGCCCTCTGACGTTCCTGCGCCTCTCTCATGCGCTCCTCTGCGACCCTCGCCCTCTCTGCCGCCTCTCTAGCACGCAGCGCCTCTTCCTCTCTGCGAACCATCGCTGCTGCCTCCATCCTGACCCTCTCCTCAGCCTCTTCCCTCTGCCGTTCTTGATCCGCTCTACTTCGCTCCTCTACGGCCTTCGCGTTCTCTGCCTCCTCTTTTGCACGCCGCTCCTCTTCCTCTCTACGAATCATTGCAGCTGCTTCCGCCCTCACCCTATCCGCAGCCTCTGCCCTCTGACGTTCCTGCACCTCTCTCATGCGCTCCTCTGCGACCCTCGCTCTCTCTGCCGCCTCTCTAGCACGCAGCGCCTCTTCCTCTCTGCGAACCATCGCTGCTGCCTCCGTCCTGACCCTCTCCTCAGCCTCTTCCCTCTGCCGTTCTTGATCCGCTCTACTTTGCTCCTTTACGGCCTTCGCGTTCTCTGCCTCCTCTTTTGCACGCCGCTCCTCTTCCTCTCTACGAATCATTGCAGCTGCTTCCGCCCTCACCCTATCTGCAGCCTCTGCCCTCTGACGTTCCTGCGCCTCTCTCATGCGCTCCTCTGCGACCCTCTCCCTCTCTGCCGCCTCTCTAGCACGCAGCGCCTCTTCCTCTCTGCAAACGATCGCTGCTGCCTCCGTCCTGACACTCTCCTCAGCCTCTTCCCTCTGCCGCTCTTGATCTGCTCTACTTCGCTCCTCTACGGCCTTCGCGTTCTCTGCCTCCTCTTTTGCACGCCGCCCCTCTTCCTCTCTACGAATCATTGCAGCTGCTTCCGCCCTCACCCTGTCTGCAGCCTCTGCCCTCTGACGTTCCTGCGCCTCTCTCATGCGCTCCTCTGCGACCCTCGCCCTCTCTGCCGCCTCTCTAGCACGCAGCGCCTCTTCCTCTCTGCGAACGATCGCTGCTGCCTCCGTCTTGACCCTCTCCTCAGCCTCTTCCCTCTGCCGTTCTTGATCCGCTCTACTTCGCTCCTCTACGGCCTTCGCGTTCTCTGCCTCCTCTTTTGCACGCCGCTCCTCTTCCTCTCTACGAGTCATTGCAGCTGCTTCCGCCCTCACCCTATCTGCAGCCTCTGCCCTCTGACGTTCCAGCGCCTCTCTCATGCGCTCCTCTGCGACCCTCGCCCTCTCTGCCGCCTCTCTAGCACGCAGCGCCTCTTCCTCTCTGCGAACCATCGCTGCTGCCTCCGTCCTGACCCTCTCCTCAGCCTCTTCCCTCTACCGTTCTTGTTCCGCTCTCCTTCGCTCCTCTATGGCCTTCGCGTTCTCTGCCTCCTCTTTTGCACGCCGCTCCTCTTCCTCTCTACGAATCATTGCAGCTGCTTCCGCCCTCACCCTATCTGCAGCCTCTGCCCTCTGACGTTCCTGCACCTCTCTCATGCGCTCCTCTGCGACCCTCGCTCTCTCTGCCACCTCTCTAGCACGCAGCGCCTCTTCCTCTCTGCGCACCATCGCTGCTGCCTCCGTCCTGACCCTCTCCTCAGCCTCTTCCCTCTGCCGTTCTTGTTCCGCTCTCCTTTGCTCCTCTACGGCCTTCGCGTTCTCTGCCTCCTCTTTTGCACGCCGCTCCTCTTCCTCTCTACGAATCATTGCAGCTGCTTCCGCCCTCACCCTATCTGCAGCCTCTGCCCTCTGACGTTCCTGTGCCTCTCTCATGCGCTCCTCTGCGACCCTCGCCCTCTCTGCAGCCTCTCTAGCACGCAGCGCCTCTTCCTCTCTGCGAACCATCGCTGCTGCCTCCGTCCTGACCCTCTCCTCAGCCTCTTCCCTCTACCGTTCTTGTTCCGCTCTCCTTCGCTCCTCTACGGCCTTCGCCTTATCTGCCTCCTGTTTTGCACGCCGCTCCTCTTCCTCTCTACGAATCATTGCAGCTGCTTCCGCCCTCACCCTATCTGCAGCCTCTGCCCTCTGACGTTCCAGCGCCTCTCTCATGCGCTCCTCTGCGACCCTCGCCCTCTCTGCCGCCTCTCTAGCACGCAGCGCCTCTTCCTCTCTGCGCACCATCGCTGCTGCCTCCGTCCTGACCCTCTCCTCAGCCTCTTCCCTCTGCCGTTCTTGTTCCGCTCTCCTTTGCTCCTCTACGGCCTTCGCGTTCTCTGCCTCCTCTTTTGCACGCCGCTCCTCTTCCTCTCTACGAATCATTGCAGCTGCTTCCGCCCTCACCCTATCTGCAGCCTCTGCCCTCTGCCGTTCATGCTCCGCTCTCATGCGCTCCTCTGCGACCCTCGCCCTCTCTGCCGCCTCTCTAGCACGCAGCGCCTCTTCCTCTCTGTGAACCATCGCTTCTGCCTCTGTCCTGACCCTCTCCTCAGCCTCTTCCCTCTGCCGTTCTTGTTCCGCTCTCCTTCGCTCCTCTACGGCCTTCGCCTTATCTGCCTCCTGTTTTGCACGCCGCTCCTCTTCCTCTCTACGAATCATTGCAGCTGCTTCCGCCCTCACCCTATCTGCAGCCTCTGCCCTCTGACGTTCCAGCGCCTCTCTCATGCGCTCCTCTGCGACCCTCGCCCTCTCTGCCGCCTCTCTAGCACGCAGCGCCTCTTCCTCTCTGTGAACCATCGCTTCTGCCTCTGTCCTGACCCTCTCCTCAGCCTCTTCCCTCTGCCGTTCTTGTTCCGCTCTCCTTCGCTCCTCTACGGCCTTCGCCTTATCTGCCTCCTGTTTTGCACGCCGCTCCTCTTCCTCTCTACGAATCATTGCAGCTGCTTCCGCCCTCACCCTATCTGCAGCCTCTGCCCTCTGACGTTCCAGCGCCTCTCTCATGCGCTCCTCTGCGACCCTCGCCCTCTCTGCCGCCTCTCTAGCACGCAGCGCCTCTTCCTCTCTTCGAACCATCGCTGCTGCCTCCGTCCTGACCCTCTCCTCAGCCTCTTCCCTCTACCGTTCTTGTTCCACTCTCCTTCGCTCCTCTATGGCCTTCGCGTTCTCTGCCTCCTCTTTTGCACGCCGCTCCTCTTCCTCTCTACGAATCATTGCAGCTGCTTCCGCCCTCACCCTATCTGCAGCCTCTGCCCTCTGACGTTCCTGCACCTCTCTCATGCGCTCCTCTGCGACCCTCGCTCTCTCTGCCGCCTCTCTAGCACGCAGCGCCTCTTCCTCTCTGCGCACCATCGCTGCTGCCTCCGTCCTGACCCTCTCCTCAGCCTCTTCCCTCTGCCGTTCTTGTTCCGCTCTCCTTTGCTCCTCTACGGCCTTCGCGTTCTCTGCCTCCTCTTTTGCACGCCGCTCCTCTTCCTCTCTACGAATCATTGCAGCTGCTTCCGCCCTCACCCTATCCGCAGCCTCTGCCCTCTGCCGTTCATGCTCCGCTCTCATGCGCTCCTCTGCGACCCTCGCCCTCTCTGCCGCCTCTCTAGCACGCAGCGCCTCTTCCTCTCTGCGAACCATCGCTGCTGCCTCCGTCCTGACCCTCTCCTCAGCCTCTTCCCTCTGCCGTTCTTGGTCCGCTCTCCTTCGCTCCTCTACGGCCTTCGCGTTCTCTGCCTCCTCTTTTGCACGCCGCTCCTCTTCCTCTCTACGAATCATTGCAGCTGCTTCCGCCCTCACCCTATCTGCAGCCTCTGCCCTCTGACGTTCCTGCACCTCTCTCATGCGCTCCTCTGCGACCCTCGCTCTCTCTGCCGCCTCTCTAGCACGCAGCGCCTCTTCCTCTCTGCGCACCATCGCTGCTGCCTCCGTCCTGACCCTCTCCTCAGCCTCTTCCCTCTGCCGTTCTTGTTCCGCTCTCCTTTGCTCCTCTACGGCCTTCGCGTTCTCTGCCTCCTCTTTTGCACGCCGCTCCTCTTCCTCTCTACGAATCATTGCAGCTGCTTCCGCCCTCACCCTATCTGCAGCCTCTGCCCTCTGCCGTTCATGCTCCGCTCTCATGCGCTCCTCTGCGACCCTCGCCCTCTCTGCCGCCTCTCTAGCACGCAGCGCCTCTTCCTCTCTGTGAACCATCGCTTCTGCCTCTGTCCTGACCCTCTCCTCAGCCTCTTCCCTCTGCCGTTCTTGTTCCGCTCTCCTTCGCTCCTCTACGGCCTTCGCCTTATCTGCCTCCTGTTTTGCACGCCGCTCCTCTTCCTCTCTACGAATCATTGCAGCTGCTTCTGCCCTCACCCTATCTGCAGCCTCTGCCCTCTGACGTTCCAGCGCCTCTCTCATGCGCTCCTCTGCGACCCTCGCCCTCTCTGCCGCCTCTCTAGCACGCAGCGCCTCTTCCTCTCTGCGAACCATCGCTGCTGCCTCCGTCCTGACCCTCTCCTCAGCCTCTTCCCTCTGCCGTTCTTGTTCCGCTCTCCTTTGCTCCTCTACGGCCTTCGCGTTCTCTGCCTCCTCTTTTGCACGCCGCTCCTCTTCCTCTCTACGAATCATTGCAGCTGCTTCCGCCCTCACCCTATCTGCAGCCTCTGCCCTCTGCCGTTCATGCTCCGCTCTCATGCGCTCCTCTGCGACCCTCGCCCTCTCTGCCGCCTCTCTAGCACGCAGCGCCTCTTCCTCTCTGTGAACCATCGCTTCTGCCTCTGTCCTGACCCTCTCCTCAGCCTCTTCCCTCTGCCGTTCTTGTTCCGCTCTCCTTCGCTCCTCTACGGCCTTCGCCTTATCTGCCTCCTGTTTTGCACGCCGCTCCTCTTCCTCTCTACGAATCATTGCAGCTGCTTCTGCCCTCACCCTATCTGCAGCCTCTGCCCTCTGACGTTCCAGCGCCTCTCTCATGCGCTCCTCTGCGACCCTCGCCCTCTCTGCCGCCTCTCTAGCACGCAGCGCCTCTTCCTCTCTGCGAACCATCGCTGCTGCCTCCGTCCTGACCCTCTCCTCAGCCTCTTCCCTCTACCGTTCTTGTTCCGCTCTCCTTCGCTCCTCTATGGCCTTCGCGTTCTCTGCCTCCTCTTTTGCACGCCGCTCCTCTTCCTCTCTACGAATCATTGCAGCTGCTTCCGCCCTCACCCTATCTGCAGCCTCTGCCCTCTGACGTTCCTGCACTTCTCTCATGCGCTCCTCTGCGACCCTCGCTCTCTCTGCCGCCTCTCTAGCACGCAGCGCCTCTTCCTCTCTGCGCACCATCGCTGCTGCCTCCGTCCTGACCCTCTCCTCAGCCTCTTCCCTCTGCCGTTCTTGTTCCGCTCTCCTTTGCTCCTCTACGGCCTTCGCGTTCTCTGCCTCCTCTTTTGCACGCCGCTCCTCTTCCTCTCTACGAATCATTGCAGCTGCTTCCGCCCTCACCCTATCTGCAGCCTCTGCCCTCTGACGTTCCTGCGCCTCTCTCATGCGCTCCTCTGCGACCCTCGCCCTCTCTGCAGCCTCTCTAGCACGCAGCGCCTCTTCCTCTCTGCGAACCATCGCTGCTGCCTCCGTCCTGACCCTCTCCTCAGCCTCTTCCCTCTACCGTTCTTGTTTCGCTCTCCTTTCCTCCTCTACGGCCTTCGCGTTCTCTACCTCCTCTTTTGCACGCCGCTCCTCTTCCTCTCTACGAATCATTGCAGCTGCTTCCGCCCTCACCCTATCCGCAGCCTCTGCCCTCTGCCGTTCATGCTCCGCTCTCATGCGCTCCTCTGCGACCCTCGCCCTCTCTGCCGCCTCTCTAGCACGCAGCGCCTCTTCCTCTCTGCGAACCATCGCTGCTGCCTCCGTCCTGACCCTCTCCTCAGCCTCTTCCCTCTGCCGTTCTTGGTCCGCTCTCCTTCGCTCTTCTACGGCCTTCGCGTTCTCTGCCTCCTCTTTTGCACGCCGCTCCTCTTCCTCTCTACGAATCATTGCAGCTGCTTCCGCCCTCACCCTATCTGCAGCCTCTGCCCTCTGACGTTCCTGCACCTCTCTCATGCGCTCCTCTGCGACCCTCGCTCTCTCTGCCGCCTCTCTAGCACGCAGCGCCTCTTCCTCTCTGCGCACCATCGCTGCTGCCTCCGTCCTGACCCTCTCCTCAGCCTCTTCCCTCTGCCGTTCTTGTTCCGCTCTCCTTCGCTCCTCTACGGCCTTCGCCTTATCTGCCTCCTGTTTTGCACGCCGCTCCTCTTCCTCTCTACGAACCATTGCAGCTGCTTCCGCCCTCACACTATCTGCATCCTCTATCCGCATTTTTGCCTCTGCCTCGACCCTAGCTCTCTCTACGGCCTGCGTTCTCAGCATTTCCACCGCCGCTCTCTTCTGCTCCTCTGCGGCATTCGTCCTTTCTGCTGCCAGTTGACGGCGCGCCTCCTCCTCGGTGCGTAATCTCGCACCTTCTTCCAGCGTCCGTGTTTGTTTCTCTGCTGCCAGCGCCGCCATCTCAGCAACCTCAATTGTACGACGCGCCTCCTCCTCTTTGCGTCCGTTCGCCTCTGCCTCCAACATGGCCCTTTCTGCGTCCTCAACCCTCTGCCGTTCCTCTTCCGCTTTTTTTCTCTCCTCTGCGGCTCTGGCTCCTTCTGCCGCATCGTGAGGTCGATGCGTCTCCGCCTCCATGCGTACCGTCGCCTAACCCTCAGCCCTCGCCCTCTTCACACGCTTTGCACTCTGCCGGTCCTCCCCCCTCCTTGTCTGCTCATCTGCGGCCCTTGCCATTTCCGCCTCCTTTCGCACACGTCGAGTTACCTCCTCTATGCGTCTAAACTCCTCTGCCAATGATTTCGCCTTCTCTGCAGCCTCGGCCTTTGCTGCAGCAACCATTTCTCTGTCTGACTCTCCTGGTCCTGCAGCAGAATCAAGCTCGCTGCCGCGCAACACCTCTCCTGCCCCATTCTCTACAGCGTCTATCTCTATCGTCACCCTCTCTGGTAGGCCACCTTCATTCCCCACCGAAGCAGGCTGTTGATTTGCACTACCATGCATTGACGTCGTTCCTCTGCGGGTGTACACAAATGTCGATGACGCCGCCTCTACGGCTGTTCGCATTATCTCATTGTCGTTCTCGGACTGAGGATTCGGACAATTGATTTGTACACCCGCCGCTTCTACTTCCATTGGTATACGACCCTCACTCGCAATCCCTCCGTCTGGAACTTCCATAGCAGCTTCGCCGTCTGTACCATCCCCCTGGCCCACTAGCGTCTCGTCCTCTTGGTCGTCGATGCGCACAGTGAATAACCTATCACACTCGCCCACAAGCAACTCCTTTACCTTATCTTTCGTGCGGGAGCCTTTGCCGAGTGTAACAAACGAGTCGTCCCACTGCAGCTGTAGAATGTCATCCCATTTTTCAAGCACCTTAGTCCATGCGTGGGCGACTTGAAGGCCCGAACCTGGTTGTGCCCATCCGATATTTTTCGTCATCTGCCAGCACGGAGAACAATGTATTTGAGTTTGCGTGGTGTAACCCAAAACACATTTGGACGCACGCGAATATATTGACTGCTAAAATTACTCACCCCCCCTAGAAATTGGAGGTACTATTTCGACAGACGCGCCTTCATGTCGCAAATGACTATTTTTTCGTTCTTAGAACTGTTGCCTTGTATGAATGCTGTGTACTCGACAATCAATTGCTCCTGCAACCATCTGTAGTCAAAGACAGAATAACTGTCAGAATCGTAAACCATCCAATTTCAATGGCAATGAGCAGCATGACTTACTGCAACACTTCTTTAGCAAAATCTCCGTGAGAGTGAGTCGGGACACCACTCTTAGGGTCGAAGAAGATGATCCGTGTACAGTCTGTTCTCCGGGTGGGAGAGCGGAGATCGCATGGAGCTAGGAGAACGAGGAGGCTGATAGCCACTTTCGGCTCGCTGCTCAATCTGCACATTGCAAACGCATATTGTTAGTGAACCTTTCTTTGTGGAAGGCGATATGCGAAAACGATAACACACTTACTTGGACCACAGCGGGAATACGAGGGCGTCTTTGGTGAGGAGGCCGTCTGTTGGCCTCTTTGATATCGCTTTCGGATGGATTAGTTTAATCCGTTTCCTTACGAAGGATGAGGAAAAAATAGCAATCTTCTGCCGTTGTTGTATGGGCAGTAGAGTCTTGGTTAATGCCCTGCATGAAAAAAGATTATAGAAAACCAGAGGTCGGTTTTAGTTGACGGACGTACCAACAATACGATATACACAAGGCAGATGATGTACTTACAAGATAGCAAAAATAAGAAGGTCCTCTGACAACTCTTTCTGCGAACCGCTTAAAGTGTCGTAGTCTTCATTGGTAATGCTAACCTTTAATCCGCAACCCCTTAGTAGAGGTGTGTCGGCCATGGCTTGCGCGACCCAGTTCCTCTACTCAATTAGCAGTCGCAGGCTTGGAGTTAATAAGTCGCTACCTAAACTCTTGACGCGGCCTCTGCCTAAGGTTGCTGAAGCACCGGGAACTACCCAAAGAAGCTAGTAGAAGACCTCTCAGGAGATCTCTGCATTCTGGGCGTAGGAAGCAAGATTGGATGCAAAAACGGGGAGAATTGTTGGGTGCAAATTCACATTGCACGACATCCTGCCGTCTGTTTGTATGAGTGTGCGTGTGCGAATGCATTTGGGTGTGAATGGAATGTTCGTGTGTTTGTTTGCTTTCGCAATTTTCGCTTGAAGCATTTGCAGGTACTCGCGCATTATGCGCTTCGGCACAACATTGTACGCGCTATGAACAGTACAAGCAGAAAGGACGAGCTCGCAAAGGAACCCAAGATGGAAGCTTTGCGGTTCGGTTGAATTGATTGTGCAGATTCAGTTCTATCCAACTCGAAATTGTACTGTTTTGTTTGGTTGACTATAGTGTAGCAGGGCAGGCACTATAGGGGTACAATTTAGGTGAAGGTTGGATGTTGTTTGTCTGTATCTGCTTGCTACAGGGCCAGGGGAAACCAGCGGAACCAGCATTTGGCTGGTTGGGCAAAGACAAAACAGGTTCTGTTTTTAGGACCTGAACCTGGTTGTTGTTTTCCCAGGTTGGAAAAACAGAACCAGAGGTTGTTTACCAACCTACCACCTGCTGTTTTGTCCAGCCAGGTTGGTTCTGCTGCTTGGAATTATTTGGGATCATCCCTGGTTGTTCCCAGGTTGATTCCCAAGGTCCTTGCTAGCTAGAGCTATTTATTCCTTCTCTGTTTGTACCTGAATATAGTGAAATTGATTCAAGCGAATTCCTTCCTTGCTGGAATTTCCTTTCTACGCGGTGCGACGGCGGAATGCTACCCGAGTCAACGCTAGTACGCTAGCACTCCAACGCTAGGCAAACGCTGTCCGAGCCATAACTTCGTAATGGCAGAACTTTTCGGGAGGCAACTTGGCTTATTTTGAAGCTCTTGGAGTGAGCTTCGATATAGGAAATTCTCAGCTTAATCCGGTCGACGGTCTGCACGATACGCTGCGCGACGTTCAAGGTACTCTTGCTGTTTTGACTAAGTCCCTCTTGATCCCTCTCTCTGCAAACTCGGACCCGAGGATAGGGGCTGGTCTTGTACCAGGCACCCAAGGACCCTTGGAGGTGACCCCGAGGAGAGGTTTTAAGTTTGATAAAGTCTTAATAGCTTGAGTTTATTAGGCCCTTACACCTACAAGAATGAGGATGGTCGATGGATGCTGCAGCCAAAATGGATTGAATCGTAGGATTTCGAGCAGAGGTGAAGCACGTGTTGCAACAACGATTGGGTCGCGTTCACCTGTGCAGATGGAACCTCTAGTTTAGCGAATCTTTTAGTGGCCGTCATATGAGACGTCGTGGTGTGCAGCATTTACTGCCTCTCTTAGTTGTTGTTTTGGGCTGATGAACCCTTAGCTAAAAACTCGGATTTGGATAACAACCTTTCTATCTAAACGAGAACATGCTGTCTCCCGCGAAGGTTGGTGTTCGGAAATTGGGTGGAATCTGCTCCACATCTGCGACCGCGAATCACGTGCCTCTGGTGTCGCAGATGTTCTGCCAAGAACGGACACGTGGCGCCGTCACACTGAAGCCTTTATCTACGCAGCGGATGTTGTTGATGACCTCTGCACCGCACACCCTAGTATGCGGTTGGAGATCACCGCCAGACATTTTGTAAGGGCTGCCCGTAAAAATAAATGGGGCGAATGGGATCCCCAGATATCTGCGAGCCTTTGGAAACTTGCGCGCCAGATAGAATCTGACACGAAGTGTGTCAGAGAAGGTCTCTGAGCCGATTAACACTGCCAGATGCAGAGTCTGCCCTATATTAACTCTACATTTCGTGCTAGTCCTCTAGGTTTTGCCCTGACGCGATAAGAGTGAAGTGTAGTGTGAACTATTGTGCTATAATTGTGTAATATAAAGAGAGTTTGCATAAACAAAACACCGAAATTGTGTAGCGCCCATCAACCGTCAACATAGAGAAATGCTGCACGAATGTGAACCCTCCTTTTGTCATCACACTCTACAAGCGCAATGGCCTTGACTTTTAACTACATCGACGAGATTGGATAGACTCTTAGTATAGGAATTTAAGAATGCAGCAAAACCATTCAACAATTTTCTGTTGACATGAAAATGAGAGGGGGGTCTATAATTAGTGTGATGAGGCTGCCCACAGAGTGTCACGCACTAATTCCAATTATTGGTTTGTGGTTTACAGCAGAATCCACCCGCAGGCAATTCTGCATAAATTTCGGCCTTTCCTTGCAGAACAATGCATGAAAGGCCTATCCAACCCTATTGTATTGACTTGAAAATGAGAGGGGGAGCTAGAATTAGTGTGATGAGGATCCCCACTGAGTCTCACATACTGGTTGCGAGGATTGGTTTGTGATTTGGAACGGAATCCAATTGCTTACAAATCTGCGGAATTTTCAGTATGTCTAGGCAAAACAAAGCATTAAAGGCCAATCAAACCTTATTGGATTGACTTGAAAATGAAATTGGGTCCTAGAAATGGTGTGATGAGACTCCCCTTTGAGATTCATAGCTTAATTCCATGGTTTGGTTGGTAGTTTGCAAAAGAACGCAAAGCAACCATTTTTGCTGCAATTTCAGGGAAACCTTGCAGAAAAATGCAGCGAAACCATATCTAGACTTATTGGTTTGTTCAGAAAATGATAGGGGAGTCTTTCAATGGTGTGGTGAAACCCCCCTATGAGTTTGAGAGCTCAAATTCAAGGTTTGGTTTGTGTTTTGCATCAGAACCCAGACGCAGGCAATTCTGCAGAAATTTCAGGCTTATCTTGCAGAACAATGCATGAAAGCCCTGTCGAATCTTATTGGATTGAGTTGAAAATGATAGGGGGATCTATAATTAGTATGATGAGACTCCCCTATGAGTTTGAGAGCTCAATTCCAAGGTTTGGTTTGTGTTTTGCATCAAAACACAAACGGGCACAATTCAGCAGAAATTTCAGGCTTATCTTGCAGAACAAAGCATGAAAACCCTATCAAATCTTATTGGATTGACTTGAAAATGATAGGGGGATCTATAATCAGTGTGATAAGATTCCCCTATGAGTTTAGGGTTTGGTTTGTTGTTTGCATCAAAACCCAGACGGGCACAATTCTGCAGAAATCTCAGGCTTATCTTGCAGAAAAAA